GGAACAGCTTCTCCATTCCCAATAGTGGCAACATCCCCTCCCCGACCCATGCTGCCATCAGCCTTTCCACCTTTGTCTGAGGAGATAAACCCTGTGCTACCAGAGGCAACAGTCATGGCCTCCCCTGAAGCAGTTGCCAGGCAAGATAATGTTGATTCTCCTCGGGAGGCACCCCCAACGCCTCTGTTTGCTTCTAGACCTACAGCTAGACTAAAACCCCAGTGGGCCCCTAGAGGCGAGGTTGAGAGTGTGACCCATGAGGAGGTATGCTACACTCTAAAAGAACTGTTTGCGTTCTCTAATTTATAACAGCAGAAATCTGGAGAACAGGCATGGGAATGGATATTAAGAGTGTGGGATAATGGTGGAAGGAACATAGTGTTGGATCAGGCTGAATTTATTGATTTGGACCCACTAAGTAGGGACTCTGCATTTAATGTTGCAGCTCAGGGAGTTAAAAAAGGTTCTAATAGTTTATTTGCTTTGTTAGCTGAAATATGGATTAAAAGATGGCCCACTGTGAGCAAGCTGGAAATGCCTGATCTCCCTTGGTTTAATGTAGAGGAAGGGATCCAAAGGCTCAGGGAGACTGGGATGGTGGAGTGGATTAGTCACTTTAGACCTACTCATTCCGGCTGGGAGAGTCCAGAAGATACACCCTTGACCAATGCATTATGAAACAGATTTGTGAGGGCAGCACTTGCATCTTTGAAGAGCCCTATAATTGCTGTTTTCTGCATGTCAGATCTAATGGTGGGAATTGCAGTCACTCTACTACAAAATTTAAATACAATGGGAATAATTGCATCCCGAGGTGGCAGGGTTCAAGTGGTGGCACTCAACCATCAAAGGCAAGGTGGGTGTAGCTACTGTAATGGACAGCAGAGGTAAAACAGCAATCAGAATAGTCTGACTCGTGTAGATCTCTGTCATTGGCTAATTAATCCTGGTATTCCTAGAAGGGAAATTGGTAGGGAGCCTACTGCATTCCTACTTAATTTATAAAGCAGAAAACTTCCAAGTCAAATGGACAAAAGACTAATTTGAATTATAAAAACAGAGAATCACAGCCTCTCAGTCAATTTCCAGACTTAAGCCAGTTTACAGATGCAGAATCCCTTGAATGAAGGGGAGGCTGGGTCCTCTTGAGGAAGGACCCCACTACATTACTGACAATTTATGCAGTGAATCTTTCTTCCATCCTTCTCCAAGGAGACCTCTGGCCTTTTACCAGGGTGACTGTGCATTGGGGAAAGGGAAGTGATTTAGACATTTCAAGGACTACTGGACACTGGCTCTGAGCTGATGTTGATTCCAGGGGACCCAAAATGTTACTGTGGTCCTCCAGTTAAAGTAGGGGCTTATAGAGGTCAGGTAATTAATGGAGTTTTAGCTCAGGTCTGACTTACAGAGGGTCCAGAGGGTTCCCAGACTCATCCTGTGGTCATTTCCCCAGTGCCAGAATGCATAATTGGCATAGATATACTTAGCAGCTGGAAGAACCCCCACATTGGCTCCCTGACTGGTAGGGTGAGGGCTATTATGGTGGGAAGGGCCAAATGGAAGCCATTAGAGCTGCCTCTATCTACAAAAATAGTAAATCAAAAACAATATCACATCCCTGGAGGGATTGTGGAGATAGTGCCACCATCAAGGACTTGAAAGATGCAGGGGTGATAATTCCCACCACATCCCCATTCAACTCTCCCATTTGGCCTGTGCAGAAGACAGATGGATCTTGGAGGATGACAATGGATTATCATTAGCTTAGCCAAGTGGTGACTCCAACTGCAGCTGCCTGTACCAGATGTGGTTTCATTGCTTGGGCAAATTCACACATCTCCTGGTATCTGGTATGCAGCCATTGACAAGGCAAATGCCCTTTTTTCCATTCCTGTCCATAAGGCCCAATAGAAGCAAGGCCAGCAATATACCTTTACTGTCCTACCTCAGGGGTATATCAACTCTCTAGCTTTGTGTCATAATCTTATTCAGAAAGACCTTGATAGCTTTTCACTTCTGCAAGATATCACACTGGTTCATTACATTGATGACCTTATGCTGACTGGATCCAGTGAGCAAAAAGTAGCAAACACACTGGACTTATTGATAAGACATTTGCATGTCAGAGGATGGGAAATAAATCTGACTAAAATTCAGGGACCTTCTACCTCAGTAAAATTTCTAGGGGTACAGTGGTGTGGGGCCTGTTAAGATATTCCTTCTAAGGTGAAGGATATGTTGCTTCACTTGGCCCCTCCTACAACCAAGAAAGAGGCACAAGTCTAGCAGGCCTATTTGGATTTTGGAAGCAACATATTCCTCATTTGGTGTGTTGCTCTGCTCACTCATTTATCAAGTGACCTGAAAGGCTGCCAGTTTTGAGTGGGGTCCAGAACAAGAGAAGGCTTTGCAACAGGTCCAGGCTGCTGAGCAAGCTGCTCTGCCACTTGGGCCATATGACCCAGCAGATCCAATGGTGCTTGAGGTGTCAGTGGCAGATAGGGATGTTTTTGGAGCCTTTGGCAGGTTGCCATAGATGAATCACAGCAGAGGCCTCTAGGATTTTGGAGCAAGGCCCTGCCATCTTCTGCAGATAACTACTCTCCTTTTGAGAGACAGCTCTTGGTCTGTTACTGGGCTTTGGTGGAAACTGAATGTTTGACTATGGGCCACCAAGTCACCATGTGACCTGAACTGCCTATCATGAACTGGGTTCTTTCTGGTCCATCTAGCCATAAAGTGGGTGGTGCACACACAGCAGCATTCCATCATCAAATGGAAGTGGTATATACGTGATCGGGCTCGAGCAGGTCCTGAAGGCACAAGTAAGTTACATGAGGAAGTGGCTCAAATGCCCATGGCCTCCACTCCTGCCACCGTGCCTTCTCTCCCCTACCCTGCACTGATGGACTCATGGGGAGTTCCCTATGATTAGTTGACAGAGGAAGAGAAGACTAGGGCCTGGTTCACAGATGATTCTGCACGATATGCAGGCACCACCTGAAAGTGGACAGCTGCAGCACTACAGCCCCTTTCTAGGACATCCCTGAAGGAGAGCAGTGAAGGGAAATCTTCCCAGTGGGCAGAACTTCAAGCAGTGCACCTGGCTGTTCACTTTGCATGGAAGGAGAAATGGCCAGATGTGTGATTATATACTGATTTACGGGCTGTAGCCAATGGTTTGGCTGGATGGTCAGGGACTTTGAAGAAGCACGATTGGAAAATTGGTGACAAAGAAATTTGGGGAAGAGGTATGTAGATGGACCTCTGTGAGGGGTCAGAAACCATGAAGATATTTGTATATGTGAGTGCTCACCAACAGGTGACCTCAGCAGAGGAAGATTTTAATAATCCTGGATAGGATTATTATCCAGGATCTATCCAGCATGAATAGGATGACTCATTCTGTGGACACCACTCAGCCTCTTTTCCCAGCCACCCAATGGGTCCATGAACAAAGTGGCCATGGTGGCAGGGATGGGGGTTATGCATGGACTCAGCAACATGGACTTCCACTCACCAACGCTGCCCTGGCTATGGCCACTGCTGAGTGCCCAATTTGCCAGCAACAGAAACCAACACTGAGCCCTCGATATGCTACCAGGAGACACAACAATTCCATTAAACTGAAGGTTAAGATTGCCACCTGGACACTTTGGGCTCCTCCTACCTTTAAATCAACAGGCTAAGAAGGGAGTTATAGTGTTGGCTGGGGTGATTGACCCGGACTATCAACATGAAATCAGTCTACTACTCCACAATGGAAGTAAGGAAGAATATGCATGGAATACAGGAGATCCATTAGGGCATCTCTTAGTATTAAGAGATCCTGTGATTAAGGTCAATGGGAAACTACAACAGCTTAATCCAGGCAGGATTACAAATGGCCCAGACCCCTCAGGAATGAAAGTTTGGTCACTCCACCAGGAAAAACACCACGACCTGCTGAGGTGCTTGCTGAAGGCAGAGGGAATACAGAATGGATAGCAGAAGGAAGTGGTCATCAATACCAGCTACGACCACGTGACCAGCTGCAGAAGCAGGGACTGTAATGGTCATGAGTATTTCCTCCCTCTTTTGCTAAAAATATGTTTGTGCATGTATGCACTTGTGCTAAGGAAAATATTTTATTTCTTTTTCCTTTATCATATGACATAGGATTTAGTGACCTCACATCAGCATTTAAGTATTGTTAACTTTATGTGATAGTGTTTGGGTTGGGGATTGGTGTGTTTCCGGTTGTATGAAGGATAGTCGTATTATGTTAGGTGTAATTATGACCTTATTATTGTCTTTATTTGAAGATTATGTATGATCTCAGGAGATGTGCATGGGTTCAAGTTGACAAGGGGTGGACTTGTGATGATTAATACTGAGTGTCAACTTGACTGGATTGAAGGATACAAAGTATTGATCCTGGGTGTGTCTGTGAAGGTACTGCCAAAACAGATTAACATTTGAGTCAGTGGGCTGGGCAAGGCAGAGCCACCCTTAATCTGGTGGACACAATCTAATCCGCTGCCAGTGAATATAAAGAAGGCAGAAAAACACGAAAAGGAGAGACTGGCCTAGCTTCCCAGCCTACATCTTTCTCCTGTGCTGGATGCTTCCTGCCCTGGAACACTGGACTCCAAGTTCTTCAGTTTTGGGACTTGGATTGGCTCTCCTTGCTCCTCAGCTTGCAAACGGCCTATTGTGGGACCTTGTGAGCATGTAAGTTAATATTTAATAAACTCCCCTTTATATATATATATCTCCTATTAGTTCTGTTCCTCTAGAGAACCCTGACTAATGCAGCATAGCTTCCTCATCCCCTGACACATCTCCCTGCAGGAGAGCTCCTCCTCCAGTGGGGCTCTTGCCCCACCTCCCACATGTTCCACCTTCCTCTCCAGCCCTGAGTTTCTTGAACAGCAGAGGGAGATGGGTGGGTACACACACAGGCCCCTGGGCTCGCAGCCCAGCTCAGGCCTGCATGAGCTCTCAGAGGTACCCACCTGGGAGGAGAGTCCATTGGTGAACCCATTGGCATTCCTCCTCACCACTGCTGATGGGGTCACCTCGTCATCAGTGGGTGATTTTGTCCGAGGGGGCACAACACCAACTGCAGAAAGACAGAGTAGCCGGTGGGCCTCATGCAGAGCAGGAAGTCAGGAAGCCAACTTCTCAGAGACAGGCTCAGCCCCACTCTCCACCGAGATTAAAAAGCTCAGGGTGTGGCACCAGGCTTTGGGTGTGAATGAGCACCGAGGGCTCCTCCCTGAGCATCCTTGCCTTACTTCTAGGGGAAGATGGGTCACAAAGTACCTTTGTTGAGAGCTGCCTGCTTCTCTGCCTCTACCTCTTGTCTGGTGGGCACAAGGCTGATGTCTCTGGGGGTGTCCAGGGATGATGTCTGGTGGGGGTCTTTCTTGCTTTGTTCATAGCTTGCCTTGGGCTGGAGAGAAAGGGCAAGAAGATGACTGATGTTAGTATGGCTGTCAGGAACTTGGCCCCCAGTGATGTTTCTTTGTTTTGCAATGGTTGAAGCTCAAACCCTTGCAGATACAGGGAACAAGGAAATTCTATGTGTGCCACCTGGGAGGCGGACAGGGATGCACTAGAGCCTCCCATCCATGCACTTTAAGTAGTGTCAATGATGGGCCATCTTTGGGAATGAGAGCTCATAGCCCCTAGGAGGCCCCTCAGCCTGACCATTTGTTTTGGCTGACACTAAGAACCACAGACTTGCTGTGAGCCAGAGTCAAGGAATGGCCAGTGGGGGGTCTCTGAGGATCCTGTAGGGAATCCTACCCAAGACATGAGCAAACAGAACCAGGCGGGCCTTGGTACCAGGATTCTAGGGAAATGAAAAGGGCACTTAGTGTGTGGGCTCACAAAATCATGAGACTAGAGGAGACCTCAGCCATCATCTGAGCCACTGCTCCCATGGTACAGTTGAAGAATCTAAGCCTCAGTGAGAAAATACAGAAAGAAGACCAGGCTAAAGGTCAGCAACTCCAGTTCTAGCCCAACTAGAGAACAGAGGTCCCCTTTCTTTGTCTGTCACATACGGGTAACATTACCTGCTCTGCCCATCTCACCAGGCAAACCCTCAAGGGTTATGCAAATTATACATAGCTAAACCTAGATGAACATATGAGTTTTCCAATTTTAGGCACAGGACTCTTTCTACTCACCACACAACCTCTTCCAAACCTAACTGCATAGCTCCTGGATCTTGGCTAAGGATGCAGGTGAGACAACAGGCCAGAACAGGAGAGAAAAGGGCCTGTATCCTTATACTCCGGGAACTCATGAAACCCAGCAAGGACACAATACAAGGTGGAGCCAGAGAGATAGTATGGGCGGAGTGGGGCCTGGGATGGACACACGAAGGGATCGGAATGGCACTGCTGGGAGTGTCACTCAGTTCCCATTGGCTGGTCATGTTGGTAGGGAGTGGGGCATAATACTAGCACCCACAAACACTGGCTTCCCATGAGCCTGGAGTTGGAGCAGTAACTCATGTCCCCATCACCTACAGAAAGCAAAAAGGCACAGAAAGATGGCCTGTGTGATGGCTTCAACTATGCTTTCCTTATCCCAGAGTCCAGCTGAGCAGGGGCGCCATAGAAACCGAACTCTGGGAAAATTAATGGGGAAAATGACTCCAGGGCCCTGCCTTGCCCCCTGGCCTGGCCCTCTGCCCATTGTCCCCTGCCCCACCCTCCAGGACCCAAGGGTGATGGGTACCTGCCCCCTGGCTGTCTCGCCACTGCGGTGCCAGGAAGGGGAGCTGGGGTAGGGCCAGAAGCGGCTCTCGCTAGGGAGTGGAGGGACGGCTGGAGGAGACTCCAGGGGGACGTAGGCTTTGGGGAGGGGAGGCCGAGGCGGGCCAGGTTCCTGAGGCAGACAGAAGCCAGAGCATTAGGAGGAACAAGAGCAGCCACTGTGAGAGCAGGAGAAAAGAGCATTAGCAGGAGGCAGACAACAACATTGCTGGAGACCTGGGCGGGCCCCTGGGACCACTGCACTCCCACCCGTGGCCTGAAGAGAGTGCCAGCTCCGGAGCTAACTCTCTGCCTGACCTTCAACGCCTTCCTCGACCCAGCCTCTACCTGTCCACCATTCCCCACTGCTCCCCAAGTTTTCCCCAAAGCTCTCTCATTGCCTCGCCCCCATGCCAGGCAGCTCCTCTCCCACCCCTTTGCTTCCACCCACTCTCCTGCCTAGAATGCCTTTCCCTTGTTCCTCTCCCTGTCTTGCTGCTCTGTGGCCTGGTTTAGGTCCAATTATCTGTTGGAACATCAGGGCGTTTATAGTCTGAACCATGTGGCTTAATGTTGAGACATACGCCGTCACGTTCCTATGAATTTGTCTTGGTTCATAGGATGCTGGGCTCCCTGAGTGAAGCCTTTGAGCACATGTGCGCATCTTTCTTTTATTTTTCTTTTCTTTTTATTTATTATTATTATTATTATTATTATTATTTTGAGATGGAGTCTGGCTCTGTCACCCAGGCTGAAGTGCAGTGGTGCGATCTCTGCTCACTGCAAGCTCTGCCTCCCAGGTTCATGCCATTCTCCTGCCTTAGCCTCCCAAGTAGCTGGGACTACAGGTGCCCACCACCATGCCCGGCTAATTTTTGTATTTTTTAGCAGAGATGGGGCTTCACCGTGTTAGCCAGGATGGTCTTGATTTCCTGATCTCGTGATCTGCCTTCCTTGGCCTCCCAAAGTGCTGGGATTACAGGCATGAGCCACCATACCCAGCCTCTTTCTTTTATTTTTTATTATTATTTTTTGAGACAGAGTCTCACTCTGTCACCAGGCTGAAGTGCAGTGGTGCGATCTTGGCTCACTGAAACCTCCGCCTCCTGGGTTCAAGCAATTCTGCTGCCTCAGCCTCCTGAGTAGCTGGGACTACAGGCGTGCACCACCACGCTCAGCTAATTTTTGTATTTTTTTTTTTTTCCAGTAGAGATAGGGTTTCACCATGTTGGCCAGGATGGTCTCTATCTGCTGACCTCGTGATCCACCACCTTGGCCTCCCAAAATGCTGGGATTACAGGCATGAGCCACCACGCCCGGCCATGTGTATATCTTTCTAAAAGGGCCTCATGGCACCCCATGCCCACGGTTGAGCCCCAGAAAACACTTGCTGATTGACTGACTAGGAAACTGCTCCCCACACTGACCCTTCACCCTGTTGCTATCCTGGCATCATTCTGGATTTAAATTCTTATGAAATGTGTGCGGTCTCCTATCCAACCTTGTGCTGTCTCCTATCCATCCTGGTGCCCAGGAACAGGCTTCACTGAAAGGGAGCTAAAGATGACAGATGGAGATGAGAACAGGTAAAGGGGAAACCTGGAGAGAAGTTCACAAAATGGGGTGTGAGAATGACCTCCTTAAACAAAGAGCTCCAGCACTAGGGCTGGAGGCCTGTGGGGAAGAGATGGGCACAGAAGTTGTATAATTTCAGACAAATGAGGATCTGGTCTTCCCTCCCCCACCTACCTTCTACTGCATTTCTCAACTTACCTCGTTGGAGCCAGGCTTGGTGGGGGACCCCTGAGAGCCCGACACCAGTGAAAAGGGGCTCAGGGGGCTGGTGAGGCTGGCGGAGCTGAGGGGGCTGGCCGGGCTGTTGGAGCTGTAGGTGGCTGAGGGGCCAAGTCCTCCTTGGGAGAAACAGAAGGGGACGGGTGAGCAATGGAGGAGGGGTGCTGCCTGGTGGGTACATAGATGGGCACTGTGAGTGGAGGTGGCAGGGAGAAGCCAGATCCAGGGATGTGGGAGGGCAGACTTAGTGTCTCAGGGCCACCTGGGCCTGCCAAAGGGACTCATTACAGGTTCTGGGGCCACAGGCTGACTGTTGAGAGGTGTGCTGGGTGGGGAAGATGGTAGATGGAAATGATACTGTTGTCCCTGAGGTGTCAAGGAAAGCCAGTCTGAGGTCCCAGGGCTCAAGGAAAACTCTAAGGTAGGGGTCACAGGTCACGAGTGGGCCCATGTGCTTGGGGGTTGGGGAGGCTTAGGTGCTTTTGACCTTTTTGGGGGAGGACTTTAGAGTGTCAGGGTCAACAGTGTCTCTGAGTTGTCTACTTAGTCTATTCTGTCAGGGGTAAGGGAGCCCTACCTACCACCCTAGAACCCAGGGGAAGATTCTGACGTCCCAAGAAGGCCCTGCCTGGCCCTGAACACAGTGTGAGCTGGCAGGAGTGGGATGGAGGCCAGAAATACCAGAGCACTCCTGGTGAGGCAGGCAGCCTAGGAGGCTGGCACAGGAGGCACCCACCTCTGTGCTTGGCAGTGTCCGTGCCCCGGGAGGGGTTGTTCTTCCTCAGCCCCTCCATCACGTCCTGGATCCTCCAGATCTCCTTTTGGATTTGCCGGTTCAGCACCTCATTCTGAAGCAGCCACACAGTGAATCAAAGGAAATGGCCACGAGGAGTTTCCCTCAGCCCAGACCCCTCGGAACCCACATCCCTTTGGGCCAGCAGGAGGCAGGCACCCTGTACACACACACACACACACACACACACACACACACACACACACACGCCCCTCCAGCAGTCATCTTTCCCATGGGCTGCCTCTGTCTTCAGCCTCTGGGAGATGGCACCCCAGAATTGCCTGATTCTCTGAACCAAGACTGAGGACGCACCCTTCTGAGTTCCCCCAGGGGAATCGTGGCTGGTTTGTGAGTGAATGCCCATCTAAGTGAACACTTTATGGTATCCTGGTTTTCGTGGGGCAAGAGCTTCCATTTTACTGCTTTTCTTCACATCCAAACAGCCCTTTTCTAACACCCACTCCCAGCGTACGCCTGAGGAGTCATGAATTCAATTACAGTTGACACTCTAAAAGGTAAGACCTCCCATTTATTTAGCATCCCTCAGCACCAGGCACTATGCCAAGCACTTTGCATATACAGTGCTAACTCATTTCGGCTGCACGACTCTAGGAGATAAGGGCAGCAGCTGTCCCCTCTTCAGAGATGAAGAGACTCACACCCAAGGCCGTCTATTTAGTAAGCAGCATGACCATCATCTAAATATGGGTCTATTTGGACTCGAAGGTTAGTGCCCTTGACCACAGCACTATCCGCCTCCTAAAATGTCTGTGCTTCAAGTGAGGCTTGGCCATGGGACATCGTGGTATTTGGGTCCTCTGGACCAGGCAGGTCTTCGTCCTACCTAACCAGCTGCAAGGTAAGGGTGGTGAGTGGCATTACCAGGAGGGAAACAGAAGAAAATGGGGGAAACCAGTTGTTAACTGCATCAGAGAGACAGGGCTTGCAAACTAGCTAGAGAAGAGGCACGGTCTGGGTGAAGAAAAGGTAGAGGGAAGAAAAGAACAAGAACTCCTCAAGATCATCAGGTCAATCCTCCTGCCTCCGGGCAGACTGTTTCTAACCCATCCCAGGAAGAAAAGCCTCTTTCCTATCTAAAAATTCCTACCGCCCACTCTTCTAATGCCTGAGTTATTTATATTTACATGTCTGTTTTTAAATCCTGCTGGGCACAGTGGCTCATGCCTGTAATCCCCAGCACTTTGGGAGGCTGAGGCGGGAGGACCACTTGAGCTCAGGAGTTAGAGACCAGCCTGGCCAACATAGGGAGACCCTGTCTCTATAAAAAATAAAAAAAACTAGCCGGGCATGGTGGTTCACGACTGTAGTCCTAGCTACTCAGGAGGCTGAGGTGGGAGGATTGCTTGAGCCCGGGGCAGTCAAGGCTACAGTGAGCTGTGATTGCGCCACTGCACTCCAACCTGGGCAACAGAGCAAGACCCTATCCCAAGAGAAAAAGAAATCCTTTCAATCATAAAACACCTTGTGTCTAACTGAAGTCTCCCAAGCTTCAGCTTTAGCTCCTTGCCCTGTGAGCTGAACCTAAAGTGTCCCATTATCTTCATCCTGAAACTTAGAGTCTGGTATCAATGACCTGAACCTTTGCTTTTGTCTCAAGGCCAACTCCTCATCTTTAGTCACATCCCAATCCCTGCCAGCTCAGGGGCCCTTCTTCACCTGGGTGTCCAAATTGAGCTGCTCCCAGAGGTCATCGTGCAGGGCAGAGACCTCAGACTCGAGGTGCTCATACTCTATGGTGCTGTTCGTCAGGGCCTGTGGGGGGAAGAGGTGTTCACTGAGAAAGCCACCATCACCAAGGCATTCCTCCTTATCCTGAAACGGGCCCTGGGGCCAGGGTACTAGAGGCCCGAAGATCTGGGGAAGAGGGCATGGAGGGACCAAAGGAGAGGGGCACCAGGCTGAGACATTCTGGTGACAGCCAAACACTAGCCTTACAAGAGATGTAACAGCCCATCCCACCACCAACTGAAATAAAGAGAAAATAGAGAGGGATGATATCACTTCCATACCCTCCTATTGTCCCCAGATTAGGGGATAAAAACTAGACAGCATAGCCTGGGGAAAATGACAAGACCCCATCTCTACAAATTACAAAAGGTAGCTGGGCATGGTGGTGTGCCCCTGTAGTCCTGGAGATTTGGGGGCTGAGGCAGGAGGATCACTTGAACCCTGGAGATGGAGACTGCAGTGAGCTGTGTTTGCACCACTGCACTCCAGCCTGGGCGACAGAGCGAAACCCTGTCCTTTAAAAAAAAATTTTTTTTAAGTAGAGGGCAAAGAGAAAAGAGCCTGAAGGAGAATATTTGTTATCTGGAGGTTAGCGAGCTCCCTCCGTTCTGAGCCACACTTTCACGGGGCTTTAGCTGCTGCTTCTTGGAGCCATTCTCCAAGCAGTCCGTGCCGGAAGGTCTGCCTGTACCTGCTGGGAAGTAGTGACCAAGGCAGCAGCCTTTTTTTTTTTTTCTTTAGCTGGAGTTTCACTCTTGTTGCCCAGGCTGGAGTGCAATGGTACCATCTTGGCTCACAGCAAGCTCCGCCTTGTGGGCTCAAGCGATTCTCCTGCCTCAGCCTCCTGAGTATCTGGGACTACAGGCATGTGCCACCATGGCCAGCTAATTTTGTATTTTCAGGAGAGATGGGGTTTCTCCATGTTAGTCAGGCTGGTCTCAAACTCCCAACCTCAGGTAATCCGCCCGCCTCAGCCTCCCAAAGTGCTGGGATTACAGGCGTGAGCCACCACGGCCAGCTGGCAGCAGCTTTTTTGCCAGTGCTTTGCTTCTCCGAGGGAGAAGACAGAAGTGGGCAGCAGAGGTGTTAGCACAGCCAAGGAAATAAGTAACTCACAACTTCATGCTGTCCCAAAGAAATCCAGGTACAGGTACAGCTTGTGGGAAATAAGCTCATCTCCTCGGTGGAGACTGGAATGAGCAGTCTGGCTGACTTGCTATTTATTTGCAGGGCAATGTTGAGGTCTTTGTTTATGTCCCTCTGCACGGGAGGACTCAGCTTTTGTCCTCTGAGGAAAACTGGACTAGGACAGCACAAGCTGGGAGGTGGTTGCCCTCCTGCCTAGTGCTGATCAGGTGGGGTGCATAAACCCTGCTCCCTGGGTTACCGTGGTCGCCTGAGACAGCTCCACGCGGATGTTGATGAGCTGGTTCTGCAGAGAATCTTTTTTGTGCCGCAGCTTTTCTGGGTAGGCAGGCTGGCTTCCAAACATCTCCAGCTCCTGGTGGGTCCCCATCAAGGCACTTTCCAGGCTCTCCTGAAGAAAGGCAGGGGAATGACGTGAGCAGCCCTGACAGCTCCTCTCTGGGATTGAACAGCAGAGGCCTGAGACCTTAGAGGTTCAACAGGGAGTTGAGTGGAGGCTGTCCTTGCTTTGTCATCTTAGTCAGATGGAGACAGCAGCCCACAACCTTCTCCAAGCCAGCCTCACCCATCTGCCCCAGCTTAAAGCCACCCCCAGCTTCTCACCTTCTCAGCTCGGAGCTGCTGCACCAGCCGGTCCTGCTCCCTCACCACCTTGTTCTGCTCACACAATTTTCCCAGCAGCTTCTAGGGTCCCAGAGAGTGAGGAAGGAGAGGGAGAAAGAAGGGGATGAAGGACACAGTTTGGTGGGGACCTGGGAGTTACAGGGCCTGGCCTCTGGATACCCTCTCCTTTCTCCTGCTGAGGAACCCTGGGCCTTCACCTTGCCCTTGGTGGCTCCTGAGAACAAGAAGATGGGTCTTCCTCTTGGGAGGGGAGGTACGCTTACTCTCTGAGGAAGTCAGTTGGGTTAAGAGGGCTGAGAGCCAAGTGTTAAGCTCTGGCACCCCCATCCGTCCAAGGGTTGCCGTTCACGAAGGACGGAGGAGATGATGTGACCTCAACTCCTAGGTGGACTGAAGAGGCGGGCCGGGTGTCAGAACAAGCAGTCTTAGAAAAGCAGTGAGCAGTAGAAACTGTCCCTCAGTCCCACAGAACCTTCTCCCTTCTCTCTCAAGATCCTGTTCTTCCCTCTTGCCTCCAAAGTCTCAGGATGGCTGACCCTCCCTCTGAGGTCTAGTCCTTTCAGGAAGGAACCTCTCCCAGTCTCACTGGGCAGGGCCAGTGGTGATGCGGAGCAGACAGCTGGGGCCAGAAAGAGGGCTTGTGCTTTCCTAGTCCACACCTTTATTCATGCCATTCCTCAAATACCTGCTTTGCTCCTTTCTACTGAGCCAGATTTTACCCTCTGGGCCTTTTAACTTCAAGGTCTAACTCACGTGCTACTTGTTTTGTCCCTGACCTTCAGCCCACACAGCCTCACTTCCCTGCACCTGGCAGAACCTATTACGGCTCCCCTTCACGACATGAATACTGCGTTGCCACCTCCTGCTGCTACCTGGCATCTCCCACTACCCTGAAGCTCCCTGAGGGCAGGGGCACAGCCGCATTCTCCTTTCTAGTTACCTGTAGGGACTAATGTCATGCTGGGCACAGAATAGACTGATCTATCTCCCAACAAAGTCTGCATTCGTGTTACAAGCAGATCTCCCTGCTGTAGGCAAAAGGGCCGAGCGCTCAGTGGAGAAACGGATACAGCCAGCATGGGAGGGAAGGGTGAGTAGGTGGTAGATCAGAAAAGAAGGGGGATGAGGAGGAGGTAGGCAGAATCTTGTTGTGGTGAGAGAAGACATGAATCAAAGGTACGAAGAGCCACCAGAAGGAGAGAGATGGATGGAGAGACAGCCCCCGCAGAGGACAGCAGTGGGAGGCTGGAGTGGAGGGAGGGAGCAGGGGGCGCTGCTCTTACATCTGTGTCTTGCTCGTTTAACTTGTAGGTATGGAGGCTGTCCCGGAACACTTCTGGGTACGGAGGGACCTGCAGGAACATGAGGCCGGTTACTGCAGCAGGGGCAGGATGAGGGTATGCAGGGATAGGAAGCTGACATCACAATCCTGCTCTGCTCCTGCCAGAGACTGTGGTCCATCACCTCTGATGGTTTCTGTTTCAGGGACCTGAGTTCATTCTTCATCCCCTGGCTGGAAGCCTGGGATGGCCCAGCCTAACCCCATCCCAGTTGTCTTAGGCTGACTCCGGAGAGATCAGAACTCTGCTTGAGTCATGCTCTGTTTTTCCTTCTCCCCCAAGCACTAGGGTCTGCTGCTAAGAGAGACTGCAGGGTGTGCAGTTCCCAATGGCTTGTTGGTAACACCATGAGAACATCAGTGAACTCCGTGGCTGTCTGTGGGGATAAGACATGGGAGAATTGTCAGAATGAGCATTGGGAACAGTTGAAAACTATTGCCCTAGTAGACTGAACACCAGTCACAGGGCTTGTGTCTAAACCAAAATTGTCAAGAATTCAGAAGTGTCTCTGGGTCCAGCAAATGCTGCCTGGCCTGGACACCACATCTGGTGACCACAGCGCATTCTATACACTTTTGACATTAGATGGTTCCAATACACCCTTCATGCCTTTAACCCCAGTGACGTCTGTCAATATATTACAAATATGAAATCGAAATCAGAACATTGAAGAGCAGAGTTGCGATCCCCAGCATGGCATGAGATGTTGGTGCTGGCTCTTTTGATGGTTTGGGAAATGGGCCTTGGGTTTACCCATGAAAGTGAAGAATGGAGGTGACATAGTGGAATTAAGGAAAGAAGACCAGGCCAAGCCTGTCTCCAGGCAGATGAGCGGGTTGGGTGGCGTGAGCCTCATCCTAGATGGGCAACTCGACCATGCACAAGCAGCTGAAATGGCATTGGCAGGGACCATGCTGCCAGGCAGAGGTCTTACTTGCATGAAGAGTTGGGACCTGGGGGAGGAGTTTTCCACCATGCGGTTCACCATACTGATGAGAGTCTCACTCTCACTCATCTGCAGCGGAGGAAGGAATGGACTATTCACACTCTGACCCACATGTAGGTATCTCCCCCTCACCCACCTGTGCTTGTTTCCCAGGAAACAGGGGAGGGCAGCTCCCCCAGCATCCTGAGCTCGCTCACCCCTTATGACCTCTGTTTCAGGACCAGCACTGAAGCTGTCCTTGCAGAAAGGCCACGGAAGGGTCCGAGAGGCCACTGGGACCTTGCCGGAGGCACTGCAGAGGCCCCGGCCTGGTGATTCTTCCCCAGGGTGCCTGGTTGTTATGGGTCCCATCTGCATTGGCCACGGTTGTCATCTCCCTGCCCTGATCTCATTTCTCACACAACTTTGGACAAAGACCATAGAGGCAATTGGAAGACGGATCTCCCCAAAGTTGAACTAAGTGAAACAACCAAAAAAGAAAATCTAGGACCTGGTTTTTGGATGGGCCGCCACGGATACCGAGGCCTGGCTCCTCTCCCTGCCCCTGCCCCTGCCCCTGCCCCTGCCCACCCTCGGCTCTAGTACAGAAAGTGCTAAACACGGTTTCCAGAGCTGGGCTGGCAGCATCCTTGAGGATCTCAGATGATGCTAGGGAAACAAACAAGGAGGCCAAAACAAGCAAGCCACGTTAAAGGGACACCAGGCTCTCCAACACATTCTTTCTATTTCAAAAATCCTTAGGAACATGGGGGTGGAAAGACTATTTGCCAATTTAAAAAGAGAGAAATGGAAGAAGGGAGGGGATGAGGAGGAAGAGGAAGGGAAAGGCGGGGTGGGAGAAAGGGCGGGCCAACACATCAACCAGAAATGCCATCATTTCCCCCACTGATTCCAATGGGAAAGGACCAAAAAGTGAAGATATCAGGGAATGTCCTTGGCTGTGTCCCTTTAACTCCATGGTTCTACAGGGGAAGGCAGCAGAAGACAGAAGGGAGTGTGCAGGGAAAGCTTTCTGGAAGGGAAAGTGAATGAGGAAAGGAGGAAAGACACACATTAGGGAAGATTATCTGGGGTTCCTGTTCAGAGGGTCTCCTGTGATTTCTCCATCATCTCTCCAATCTCAGTTGCACCCACACTGTCCTTTCTTCCTCCCCTTTTAGGCTGTCCAAATACAGCCTTGCTTCTACATGTTGTAGGCAGGGCAAGGGCACCGACCACCCCATTTGCAGGGTCTGCGGCATTTCAAAAGGCTTTCCTAGGAACGGATTTTTCCTGTTTAGCCCTGGAATGCAAGGGCCTTGAGGGCTGGGAGCCATCCCTGCACAGTAAACTGTGTGTATCTCATTCCTTCCCCAACAAGCGGATCTAGAGCAGCAGAGGAAGTGAGCAGGAGTGTTTTCAGCTCCCGCCTGTGCTGCCACTTTGGGGATCTTTCAGCCCAGGTGGGTCTTACCTCTAGGAGGATTCTTGTGTGCTACCTTCTGTCTCTCCAAAATGTTAGATTTTGTAAGAAACCACCTAACCCAGTGCCTCACACATGGTAAGGAGTGCTCGTTGATATTTTTGTGTTTGGGAAAAACAAAATAATCATAGCAGCAAGTGGTGATTGTCACTCCTTGCCGATGCCTGACAAAGAGCTCCCATATGCACCCCCACTTGATTCTCCCAATACATCTGTGAGGTTGAAAGGAAAGGGCAGGTTCTACAATGCCCATTTTATGATTGAGAAAACAAAGACCCAGAGAGACTAAGTGACATTTCCAAGATTAAAAAAAAAAAAAATTCCTTGTAAATGGCAGAGCTAGAACTAGAGCAGCAGTGTCTGACTATGTCCTGGACTCTTCTCATCTACAAGACTGCCTTTTGAGAGTATTACCCTTGGCCAGGTACAGAGGCTCACGCCTATAATCCTAGCACTTTGAGAGGCAGAGGTGAGAGGACTGCTTGAGGCCGGGAGTTTGAGACCAGCCTGGCCAACACAGTGGGGCACCCATCTCTACAAAAAAAATTTTTTTCAATTAGCCAGGTGTGGTGGCTGCACACCTGTCTGTAGTCCTAGCTGCTCAGGAGGCTGAGGTGGGAGGATCGCTTGAGCCTGGGAGGTGGAGGTTGCAGTGAGCTATGATTATGCCACTATACTCTGGCCTAGGCAACAGAGTGAGATCCTATCTCAAAAAAAAAAAAAAAAAGGGAGAATAATACCATTCATCCATGAGGGAGTCCTCTGGAAGGCTATTTCTGAAGCCCCCAGCCTAATGGGCCAGCCCCTCTGTGAAAGCAAAAGCCCCCAAGAAGGGACCCTGCTGTCTGCACTGAATGCTATGACAACAGGGCATTGTGGATGGAGTAGAAAGCCAATCACATGGGCGACAGGGAGGGCAGCTTGCTCGGGAACCTGGAGGCAGATGGGCCCTGAGCCCCACTCCTCACCCCTGCAAGGCACTTTGGATCTTGCTTCCCATCAGCAGGATCCTGGGCCTCCCGTCCCTGCTCCGAGTTGGAATCCTGGGATCTGTTCCCACATGGCCCAGAATGCTCATGGTGTGACACAATAAGCTGCTTTCGGAGCTGGAATGCAATGGCCTCCAGGGCCAGGAGCCATCCCTGCTTATTGAACTGTGGACATTGCTGCTTCCTAGTGCCTGAGGCCTATTACAAAATCGAATTGCGACATCGGCATGAAGCCCCAGTGAGATGGGTCACACGGCTTGTGACTAGAAGAACCAACAGTTGCAGCTATAGCATCTGATTTCAAATTTATGGTTTTTTTTCTGTAACTTTAAGAGCATGAACTCATCCTAATGAGGTTTGACGGCAGCTTTGTCACACATTAGATGTTTCCTCAGCTGTAAACTGGGTCAAAAGCTTGGAGTCACATTCCAAGCTCAGCTGTTCACTGGCTGTGTGTTCTTGGCACATTATTCAACCTCTCTGTGCTTTAGTTTCCTCGCCTGTAAAATGGGGGTAATAACAGCATCCACTTTACAGGGTTGTAATGAAGATTAAATGAGTTAGAGATCTGAAAAATGCTTAGAATAGTATGGGGCACGGAGCAGGCATCCAATTATTGCAGCTGTTGTTAGTAGTAGTAGTAGTCTTTCCACTCCCCAGGCTGCCTCCACAGGACAGTGTGTACTTCTAGGTCTTGGTTTGTAGCACAGATCTGAACTTAAGAGTATGTGCTTATATAGATACCCAGCATATCGACCCCCAGCCTGTCTAAACTCAGCCTCACAGCTCCCTTAGCTTAAAACACAAGAAAGGGTTAGAGCCCTGGAGTAGACACCAGGCAGCCAACTGCTTGCAGCTCGTGGAACACACTGCCTCTTCAGCTTGCTCACCTGTGAGACTGGGTTGATAATACTCCCTCTGTTTGCACTGAATTCTTAGGAATGCACAAGCTGTGTATGCAAAAGAGCTTTTGGAGGAACTAACGAATACACTGAGCGAATATTACTTTAAAAATCATCCTGGGGAGGGTCTGTAGGCCTCAGTTTACCAATTATGGAGTTTAACAACAACCTGTAAAATATGATACGATGATTTCCCAGATTCAGGCGGAACTAAATCCCTAGCATTTTAGGCCCAGCCTAGAGCTCCCTGGACTCTGCGACTCTCTCCTCTCACCAGCAAAAATGCAAATTCCCACCTGCCCCCTGGGGGCCGTTCCATCCGAGCAGAGCACTGGAGAAATAAGAGGTGGCATTAATTATTCATGCGCCTACTTATTATGCTTCTTTCCCCAGGAAACTCCCAGCTGTCCTAAAGGGCTTTGAAGAGAAGGGGTGTGTAGGCGCAAACCAAAACATAAGCCACTTTGTTGTGTCCTGCTTACACCAACAAAGGTTGTCAAATGGCTGGAAGATGAGGAGGTGGGGAGGAGTGGAGAGATGCGACAGGAAGGCAGTGGGATGGTAGGGGGCACCAGCTCTGCCTACCTGCTGATCCAAATACTCTAGGTTTCTTTGCAACTGAAGATCTAAAAGTTCATCCTACCCGGAGCCCGAGGCCCAGAGGCCAAACAGCAACACAAACAAACAGGAACACACAAAAGAAAACAATAAAAAAAGAAGCAAAGCAGTTAAGAGTTAGCGACAAGGACATGGAGAGGCTTCTCCCTCTGCCCTTGGGGAGTTCTCAGGAAGGGAGGGGTTGAGGATGTGGGCAGGCAAAGTAGTTCTCTACTGGACACTCCAGGGAGAGGAGGGGCACACGCAGGCCCCACTGCCATCTCTCCTAGGTCTGCCTAGGCCTCCCTGGGAGAGGTGAGTGTCATCAGAGCAGTTTAGGCAGCACTTGTTAGCAGCTGTTTCTGAGTTTTCTGGAAAAATCGGTTGTTTCTGAGTGTGTATGTTTGCTGTGGGTAAGGCTTATACGCTGTGGACACTGGCAGAGTGAGAATCAGACAGAGAGGGGAAGGAGCCGCCGCCTAGCCTCCAGCCTGCCCAGCCCTCCTCCACCCTGGCCTCCTGGTACTGTTATGGAAACGAGTCAGCAACAGGCTTTCTGGACAAGGATTCTGCCTGTTGGTCCCAGTGGTCCTCCCCAACCCTCCCAAGCGGAGCATCTCATCTAGGTCTCTAGGTGGTGGCAGAAGTTCTCAGGAGAACAAATTCCAGGGAGAGACACGAGTAGAAAGAGGCAGAGAAAAAGGAGGAGATGCAATTCAGAAAATTTTTTCTTCCTCAATCATATTGCTTGTATCTCTCCCCAAAAGTGGCATTCCAGACAAAGGACAAACGTTAAATAACTATGCTTCAGGGGAAAAAAGTTTAGAAAACCTTGCTTCTTGTTAGGAGCTCTGGCCTGATTTTTCCTGCCTAGGCCTCTTCTCCTGCATGCTGGAGAGGAGAGGGACCAGGATATTACATGCTCCCAGATCTCATCCCTCCTCCACGGCCTGTGTCACAGAGGAGAAGGGGTTACTGGCACCAAACTTGATACTGGGGCTAGAGTCCTGACTGGGAGGGAGGAAGTATCCAGAGGCTGCTAAAAACCAGCCAGTCCAGGCACTAGGCACAGAGCGTCCCTGGAGTCCGCCCCAGTTTAGCTCCACCCTGGGTGGAGCACGGTGCGGGGAGGCCCTGAGGCAGGTGGAGGGGAGAAAGGACGTACCATCTTATCGTGGACCGTGGGGGATGGTGGGTAGTTGTAGGGGAACAGTCCTGCAGGGACTGGCCGCCTGTCTCCCAGGTAATCATACTGGAAGAGAAAGGGATCACAGAGGTGAGGGGTCTGGCTGGGACACAGAGTTCCCCACCAGCTGAAGCTCAAGGTTAGAGGTGTTTGTGTTCAGTCCCAGAGCAGATCCCAAACTGAAATGGACAGCAGCCCCCCGTGCAATGATCTGTCTAGGTCCTCAAGATTTGAAAAGACAGAACTCTCTCTGCCCTCTTACATGACGGCACGGTTTCTGGCACAACCTGGGGGCATGTACAGAAAGCAATGTTCCCACTCAAGAGGCAAAGCCATCCCCAAGACAGCTCTACTACAGACAGAACCACAGGCCAGGGGCTTCCCTGGGCAACACTGCTGGTCCTATGGACACACAGCCCAATGGCCCCGTGGCCCAGATGCTCCCACATCTCTGCCTTTTCCCAGTAGATTGTCTTAGGCTTCTGGGGATCTCAGGGAATGAGGAAGGAACGGCAGGCTGGTGGCTCACCTTGGGGGAGCTGATGGATCGCCTCATCACATAGGCAGCAGGGTCAGCATAGATGTCCTCGCTGCGAGGTGGCAGTCGCTCAAAACGGGCACTGGGTGAGCGGACAGGGGAGTAAATGCGGGCACGGCTGTAGGAACCCTGGCTGGGTGAGCGGGGCACAGAGTGGGAGCGGGGCTGCAGGGACAGGCGGCGCATGGAGCTAGAGGCAGCATCCAGCTCATCATAATAGACTGGCTGCCGGGAGGGGCTTGGGATCCAGACGGTGCCATCCTGCCGCCCGTAGCTGGCAGGCTCCTTCCACTCTCGCAGCTGGTAGGCAGGGCCGCCCCCGTTGCGGAAGGCATGGCGCTTGTCCTCCAGGGCCCAGGGCGGGCTGATCCGATCATAGGCCGGCATGGAGCAGATGCTCTCTGGCCGCACCCCTGGCGGGTAGTACTGGTAATCATCAGGGTACTGGGAGGAGTAGGGGCCGTAGTACTCAGGGACCCTGCGAGACACAGGGTAGAATCTAGAGGGACTGAGAGAGAGGGGATATTGTAAGGAAAGCAGACAACATGGGCACCCCTCCACCCACCCCAGCCCCACCTCCAGGTCCCCCAGCCTAGAGCAAGGTGCTTGAATAGGTACACAGGGGCTGAAGTTTATTCCAGAGGTGACGGAAAGACTCCTGTCCTCACAGCCCCCTTCCTCAACCAGCTCCCCAAGGCTGGACACTGCACCATTCAGAGCTTCAATCTTTGTCTCTTTAAAATGACATATCCCTAGGAAGAAACATGAAGCCTTATCAGCCGTCTCCATCTCAGCATGAACCAGTTTATCAGATCTTTTCTGAGAGAGGCAAATAGAAGAAAGTCTACCAGGCACCTGAAGGAGGGCAACACAGAAGGGATGAAAGGGCAGCGTCCTGATCTATTTTATATTATTTTACAGATGAGGTCCATTCTGTCACCAGCCTGGAGTGCAGTGGGGCCATCACGGCTCACTGCAGCCTTGAACTCCTGGGCTCAAGCAATCCTCCCATGTCCACCTGTAGAGTAGTAGCTGGGACCACAGGTGTGAGCCACCATGCCCTGCTTTCTGATTGTATGATCTTGTCAGGGACTGAACCAGTAGGTTCTTGGGACTCATCCCAAATGATTCTCCCCAGAGCAGGCCTGATACTCCCAGGCACAAGACCACCAGCAATGCGAGGCTGCTCAGGCCACTAGAGGGCAGGTTCCTCCCGGGCCCCATGGCCTTCCTGAAGCTGTGGCCTGCAGTCCCTGGAGCTGCCCAAATCCCCAGGGAAGGAGCCTGCAGCCCCATTTGCCCTGAGGGACACCACTGGGCCCAATAAATGTCCCCAGATATTTCAAAGCCAGTCGTTGGATAAAGGAGTAAATGGTCATAGAGGGCCGTGTTGGGACCAATGAGCTACTTGGTTTTGTTTTTTAACTTTATATAAATCATGGCTTTAAAACCATTAGAGCTGTTCAAAAATGGAGTGGGTTGGTCTGGCAGTTAGTGAGTCTCAAGTGGGTGGAGCACTGGAGGAGAGGATGTTGTAGGAGGGCCCATAGCTTGGATGGATGTCTGACTGTAACAACTTCAGGCCCCCTCCCAAAGCCTGCTGTGTTCTGGGCTTCCCAGCATGCCGTGGAGAGGCACTGGGGCACTCTGTCCCTTCTTCTGAAGGAAGCAGACAGAGAAACCAAGAATCAGGGACAGCAGCCAGACTCTAATGGTGGAGCCATGGAGCAGGAAGGATTCGGGCAAGCCAGAAGCATGGGATTTGGTTTCCCAATTCAGCCTGCTTCCAGAAGGTTTCCAACAGGGGATGCCTCATGGGCTATGACCCCACTCCCATGTTCTAGCCGTAACACCATATCAGCCCCACCCCAGCCACTGGCATGCCTCACCTCCGAAGGTCTTCAGGCGGGGGTACCCCCCGGCGCAGGTTCACCCACTGCTGAAGCTGGTTCATGGAGCTCTTGCGCTGGGCAATTTTGTCAGGGTTGGTGCGTGGCGGGAAGCTCCGCCGGTGTCCCCCAGTCTCTCCGTCCTGAGGCGGGAAAGCTGTGCTCCCTGGCCGGCTTGGGGAGTGGTACTGCCAGCCATTGGGCTGGGCAGGTTGTTCCCCACCCCCTGGCACCCTTGGGCCCTCGGGGTAAGGGCTGCCCGGCTCTGAGGCTGGCTCCGGTCCAGCTGGGAGGCCGTTGGTTTTCACCAGAGGCTCTTTCTTGACTTCTGGCCTCTCCGGCCTTCTCTCTGCCTTTTCACAGCCTCGGCCATCACCCTCCCCTCGAGTCTTGGCCTCTGGCTCAGGCTTGGGGAGGCTGTTGTGGGGCGGCTGCTGGTGGTGCTTGCTGGGTGGGATGTTCTCCGAGTCTGGCTTCTCATGGCTGCTGGATGCCAAAGGAGATGCTGTCAGTGACTTTAGCCCAGCATGGAGTGGGGCAGGGGGTACCAGACTGGGAAGGAGAAGAGGAGTGGGGAAGGATGGGTAGGGAGGTGGCAATGGAACCAGGATTCTATGAATTCCTGTTCTGCTTCTTAAGTCTCACTGCTTCATCTTCTCAATCCAGCCTGGGAAATTATTATACAACCTAATCTGCCCCTACCCACATCTGCTGTGTTAACTCTGCCCCCAACATCTTCTCTGCAGGTCATTCTCCACCCCACTCCCCTCTGCCAGTCTGCTTTGAGCCCCGTCTTCAAGCTATGTCATGACTCACCTCACCTAGTCTTGGTCCTCTCCGCAATCTGTCCCTGACCCAGCTCCCCAAACTGGGTTTGCACTCTTATCAGTAACTGTCCTTGATACTCCAGCGACAAAGGCTTGTGATGGGGCACTTGTCTTTCCTATAGAAACTTACTTAACTGCCAAGAGTCTTGGGCTCCTCATCAGCAGAATGGGTATAATAATATCTCCCCTCCTAGGACTGCTATGAGATAAACATGGCGGGCCTCAGGAGCAGAAGTTTCTGCTTTGAAACTCACAAGCACATAAACACACTAGTTCCCTTCTCCAAAACACGTTTCTTCCAGGTCTGACTTTCCATCAGAATACAGGCCCCACAAGGGTAGGAACGTGGCAGACTTTCTTCCCCTGTGTTCCTAGCACCCACTACAGTGCCTTACACTATTTATATTTACAGTAAGTATTTGTGAAATGAATGAATGAATGAACTCTTGGAAGTAAGCCCCTTGGCTGAAGCAAAGATGGAAATTTGTGACAATTTTCCCCCTACAGCTTCCCAAACTCCACACATTCAAGCATCCTTGTTGAAACATTGCTTGGTAAACATTTCTAAGATATGTGAATGGACTTGGAGCCTACACTGTGAAACCCCCTTCTCCTGGAGCCCCCTTAGCACCTAACTCAAGACTCCACACGCAGCTAAGGGAGAGACAGACGCTGAGACCGTGGGTGACGGCGGGCGATGGGAGCGGCCATATGCTAAGAGTTTACTGCATGTCGAGTGTTTTACATGCACTCTGTGTAAGCCTCACGACAACCCTGAGATAGAGTTATGTTTGCTGGTTTTTGAGCAGAGGAACCTCGGGTTCAGTGAGGGTGAGTCCCTTGCACGGAGGTCACGCTGCAGCCAAGTGGACAAGGTGTGATTCAAACCTGAGTATATTTTCCTCCAAAAGCGGTGTGCTTAACACACACAGCTGAGAAAAACCAGCAAATGACACTGACCTCTGGCTCCTGGCCAGGCCCCAATGGAACCTGGCTTTTCTCTTGGCCTCCCCCAGCTCAGAGAGTAGAGGGGGAGCTGGCTAGGGGAAGAGAGACTTCAGGCTCTGAAATCACTCAGCCAGGCCTCCTGCCTGGATGCAAGGAGTCGGCTCACACATCCTCCACAGCTTCAAGGAGGCACCCTGGGATTAGCAATGACCCAGAGTTGGGTGTGTCTTCCATTCCCCTCTTAATTCTTCCTGCATCCCCACACTCAATTCCCTGGCACTCACCTGTGCCGCACAGCTTGGGGCACTGACTTCTGGGCTGGAGGGATCTGTACTCGAGCAGCCTCCCCCATGGCCTGGATCCAGGCCTCTTGCTCCTCGGGGCTCTCGGCACTGAAGAAGTAGGTGCGGACCCCGGCATGCTCGGCCTGTGGGGAGAGGCAGTGCGTGGAGCTGGCCTCGGCCTCATCCACCCAGCACACAGTCACCTGTTGGGAGAAGACACCAACACCCACAGAATGGGCAGTCAGTTGGGCCATTCCCTGCACCTGGGGCTCTTCCCCATGCGGAGCTCGGGAGCAAGGTGAGGAGGGCAGCTTGCAGCTACCCCGAGGGCTCCAGCTGGTACCCAGGTATCCACCTTGGCTGGCTCTCTGGGCACCATTAGGCAGCCCAATAACCAGGTCAGCCTACTTGCCCCACCTGGGGTAATTAAAGCAGGAGGGACAATGATCACACCCACTTCCCCGGCAAATTCCATGTTTGATTTCAAAGGCAATGACCCCATGTCTGGGGAGAGGACCCCTGAGCACATGCCAATCTTAGCCCCAGCTTTTCACTGCTGAGAAGCTAGCACTGTCTCTTCACATGGAGAGACAGCCAAGCCCCTCTCTGTGGGCATGCAAAGCAGACACTGGCATACAGACGGGGCACACTACCTAGTTGGCGGCTGTGAGCAGGTACTGCGGGCGGGAACCCAGAAGAGAGCTCCTGTCCAGAGGAGGGGTCCTCACGAGGTCAGAAGGAGGAGAAGCAGAGAACAGGTCAACCAAACACCAGAGGGAGAGACAGAAGACGACGTGACAGGAAATGGTGAGGAGCACAGGGAAGGGGGGATATTCAGATTGTCCCCTTCTACTCTGTGTCTCCCCTGGGAATGGCAGCACCCAGCAATGCCCAGTTCTGCCTTCCAAGGGTTTGGGAGTGGAGAGCTTGCACCAGGGAAATTCAGGCTGGTGGTGGAGAGTGAGTCAGGGAATCGCAGCGCTAAGCCTGGCTCTGCTCCTGACCAGCTCTGTAACTGCAGACAAATTGTGGTTTTGCTCTGGCCTTCACTGATGCATCTATTTCATGGGAAAAGAGTCTGCCTGGTGAAATTCAAAGTTCTTAGGCCACAAGGAAAAGAGGCCACAGGACTAAATTCTTTCTGGGACCTCAGCATACTTCCCAGTGAGATCCTCAGTAGCTTGACTTAGCCCACTCAACAGGGGACATCTAGCAGTGATTCAGAGTCTCGGATGTGAGCCTTACTCCAGCCTCTGACCCCTTGAGCCCTAAATCCTGGGTCTCTGGGGGTCGAGATAGCCTCAGGGCTCCCCTGAGCAGTGATGTCAAAACCATACCCTCTAAATGCTCAAAAGGTTCCTCAGTTGCAGCTGGTCCCACCTCACCTCCACCTGTCCCCAGCCCTCAATTTCTTTCTGACAGGAACAATTACCCAGCAAGAGGCAAGGGTGGGCCTCCTTCCTCTGGTCCCCAACCTCCAGCAGAGGACTTAGCATGTGGGCGGAGCTTGTGGCAGGTGTGGGAGAGGGCAGGGGAGGTGTTGACAAAAAGCCAGTGAAGCCTCAAGAGGGCAGCTGAAACTTGCGACGGATCGGGGGTAGAGAGACCAGAGGCCCAAGCAAGTCCTCTGGGTGGAGAACACAGGGTTATTGTAGAGAGGAGACACACAGGCAGGGCTCGTGGGTGTGTCCTGGGGTGGGTGGGAGTGGGCAGCAAATGAAGTCATCAATTCAATGAGCATCCAGGGAGCAGCCTGTGTGTGCGGAACTCGCTGGGGGCACCAGTCACAAGGAAGGCAAAGACAGGCTCTTGCACTTGAAGAGCTGACAGTCACGCTGGGGCACAAAACATGCCGCGGGAAACAAGGAGAGAGCAGAGGCACAAGGACAAGTGCTGTGACAGGGGAAGGCAGAGGGCCTGGGAAAAGGCAGGGCCATTGATGGGGAGTGGGCAGGGGCGCTGGCCTGGAACTATGAAAGGGGGCCAGAGAATTGAGGGAGCTGTCCCAGCAGGGCAAACCCCTCGAAGCCTCTGTGGGGCCGAGTTAGGAAGAAGTTAAGGCATTCAGCGGTAGCCTGGGCAGGAACAGTTCCTGGCTCATTCTTAACCATCCAAGAGCTTTGCTCGGTGGCCACAGCAGGACAAGCCTCCCATCTGTCTCAGCTCCCCTCCCTTCCCTGGGGAAGGGCCGTGGAATAGCCACAATCAGAACCCTTTGTGGACCACTGAGCACAGCCCTCAGAGTCAGGTTTGAAAGAGGCAGTGCAGTGAAGGGGAAGGAGGCGAGGAGCTGGTGGGCAGAGAGGTGATATCTGGGATCTGTGGTGGGGGGAGTGTGTCAGTCACTCGGGGATGTTTATCTCACGCCTGCTGCTGGCAGAGCTCCGAGCTGGAGCGTGTCTGTGTCTCTGCACAGGTCTGGTGGGGAGGGTGAGACAGGCTGTTTGATTGTGTGTGTGGGTGTGTGTGTGTGTCTATGTATAACAGGACTACTTGTTGTTGGTTAAACAGCCTGTTCCTATTTCCCCAGCTAGAACTGGCTCCCTGGAGTCAGAGTTTTATTAATTGTTCATTCTCTTCACACCTCTGGCATACAAGACCCCAGGAGGCTGGAAACTAATTATGTGCCAAATAAGTCCTTCCTTGATCCCTGTAGCGGGCCCTGTGCATGCTGCCCAGCCTTTTTCTGTGGCCAGGTGACTGGAGCCTGAAGGACAGGAAGGGACAGAGTCCCTTCTTCTAAGGCTCTGGAAGCTCAAGGAGTGACCTACGGGTCCCATCATCTAACATCATAGCTTTGAAGGGTCTTGGACAGCAACTGTCAATTAGGGCAGAGAGGGCTTTGTAGCCAGACAATGTGTAGTTGATATTATAATTTTATATTTGGAAAATGAAAAGGAACCTATGATTTTTGCATCACAAAATACAAAAGGGCATGAGATTTTTATAGGTTTTGATGGGTCATGAATTTTTAAATGTGGAAAAACACTGGCCTAGGACGAGCCAGCTGCAGGCACATCTTTAACGGGTGGCTCCCCGGGGGTTCAAGGCAGTGATATTGAGCAGGCAGGAAAGGCCCATTTTCCTGTGCACTTGTTCTCTCAAATGGTTTCTTCATAAGATGTGCAGCTCTTGTGGAATGAAACTCAACTCCTAATATTCACTAAAGACTGAACTTTGAGTAAGTTTTACTTGGAGGTAGGTCCAGTTTGCTGAAACCATGGTGGGGAGGAAGCCTTTCCAGAAAAGGTCTCAGAACCCACCAGCCACAGCTCCTGCCTCTGCCCAGAGGGATTTCCCAGGGGCAGGCACTGGGCAAAAGGTCCACGGCCTCAGAACATAACTATTCCTGCCCCAGTAACAATTGTGGTGCTGCTGAAACACATCTCTACTGGCCCACTCTTGGGAGAATTGCCCACCCAACCCCCAAGAGAGGAGGAAGGTCCCAACATAGCCTTGCTCTAGCCTTACAAGAGGCTGTGCTGAGTCTAGGGGCCATTACTACTCCCCCTCCTCCGCCCACCACCACTGCTACCACCATCACCACCTGGGATTCCTTAGGGTGACGGCTCTTGGCCCCTCTCCATTCCCATAGGCTGTAGAAGAGCAGGCCTCCCTCCCCCAGCTGCCCTGGGAGGGGAAGAACAACTGACCTTAAACGTGTGTTTCCGGCTGATGTTGTCTGAGGGCTGCACTGCGGCTACCCGGAAGCTCAGGAGGGGGATGCTGCCCAGGATACTCTCTTCCTTCTCATCTGTCAGGGAGAGAGGCACAAGAAGGGTGTGTGTGTGTGTGTGTGTGTGTGTGTGTGTGTGTGTGCACGCACACCAGGGGTGGGGAGGAGTGTATTGCCCCTCCCTGATAATATCAATACATATTTATTGTTCACCTCCTATTTGTCAGGCACTCAGGGCCACCACACATGCTCCGAGAGGACACTCCCTGGAGTTCGGGAGTGTGATGGCCCTGGAGATGCTGTTCCAGACACTGGGACTGCAGAGGTGAATAAGAGAGAAATAGTGCCTACCCTAAGGGAATTCGCCTTCTAGTGCACAAATAAACAAAGAAATAACAGCTGATATTTGGAAGCTCAGGCACTGTTCTAAGTGAAATGCCTTAATGGATTTAATCCTCCCAACAAACCCATGAAGAGGTCCTATTATTACCTTTATTATTACCCTTATTTTATAGGTAAGGAAGCAGAGACACAAAGAGGTTAGATGATTTATCCAAGGTTACTTAAGGAACAAGGGATAAAATTGGTCTTCAAACACAAAAAGTGAACTCCAAAGCTAGCATTGTTGACCGTTCTATCTATCCTGCCTTGCTAAATGAGACCATCCCACCAGTGACATATGTAACAAGGTGATGGGACAGATCATTGTAGAGTGGACTGTCCCACCTTCCGCTCTCTGGTGCCTCTGGGTCACTCTTTCTAAGGTTCTCCCTGTCACTCAGAGCCTGCTTTGCCCTTTCCGGCTGCAGATCCCCGCTGAGGTTCTATGTCTCCATAGGAAAAGGCACCCCTGCCTGGAGCACTCTGGCCCTCTTCTCCCTGGGCAGAGAGCGCTAACAGTCCAGCTATTACATAATTCATCCCGGATCTCCAAACGAGCCTGATGGATTGGCCAGTTGGGCCCCCCGCTGCCAGCAGGAGGCAAGAAAGGGCGGGGAGTGCTCTGTGGGACAGTGGGGGGACAATTATGAAACCATGGCAAGGCCTTCCCCACTTCCCTGGGATGGCTATTTGTTCCCCAGGCTGAGGACTCTGAAAAGCCTTCGGCTAGGGTTCAGAAGAAACCTCTGTAGGGTTATGAACTCCTCAAGCCCTGCTTCTCCTCTTACTCATCACATCTACACAATACTTGGCCCATAGATCAGCTTCTTTATTTGGACCCCAGCATGGTACCTAGAGGAAGGGGTAAACCAGAGTAGTAGGAGGCACTCAGGGTTGGACCCCAGGGCTGCCTTCAGGAGAACTGAGGCTCTTGTCCTCCAGAGATGGAGCCTCTGCCTGGCAGAGTCCAGGCCAGCATTTGGGTAAGTCCTGAGTCCATCTCTTGGTGAACAGTGACCTCCATTTTGGTGTGTCCTGAGCCTTTGGGTTCTCAGCTCTTTGAGGTTCTACCCCCACTACTTCCCAAAGTCTCTCCTCTGTAGAGACTCCCATTTTCCTCTCAGTTTCATTCCCACTCTGGCTCCATTGTGGCCCGATATCCTGGAGGCTCAGCACCTGGGTCCTAGGCCTGGGCAGATTCCTCTCCCTGAGTCTTGGCCTTTTCTCTGGGACTGGACTCTGTATGCTCAGCCCCTTCCTGTTTTCCCTCCTTGGGGTTCAGGTGGCTGCAATACAGCAACCAGGGACAGCAGTGCTCTGCAGGGTCACTGGGTACAACCTTTGTTTGCCAAAGTTAATGATTCACTGAATTGCCCCCAGGAGGCCTGGAAATCAGGGCTGTGCCCTCCTGGGCCAAGGGAGTGAAGGAAAGAGCCTCTCCTGCTTCATAATCATTGTACCCTCTCTTCTCTCATCCCTCACACCCATTTCCTCCCCTGCATCCACATGGCGCCACCATCACTGACCTCAACCCTTGCTGGTGCCCTCAGCCTGCCTTGGCACAACTTTTAAAAATAGAGAGTAGGGAAAGGGTGTTGGGGTCAGCAGAGAAGGTGAAGCTGGAGGATATTATGTTCACTCATTCAGTATTGACTGAGCACCGACTAAATGGCAGGCAGTGTTTTGGGTGCTGTGGATACAGCAGTGACCAACACTGACAAAAGTTCCTGCCTTCACAGATGGGACTATGCATTCCAGTGGGACAGGAGGAAAGGCCACATACAAGCTCCAATTAGTAGGTGACCTGCTAGTAGTGACTAGTGACCTCTTCCTCTTTGTCCTTGTCCTCTCTCCCCATTCCTCCAGGATTTCACCAGCCATATGACCACCTTGTTCACCCAGTGTATCGCTGGAACTCTGCCTGAAACCTAGCAAGCATTGTTGAATGTGAACTGAATGGGTGAGTGAGTGAGTGTGTGAGTGAACAAGTGAGCTTTGTTTTTATCCTGCTGCCACTGGTGCCAGGACCACAGTGAGGAGATCTGCCCTGCCGGTGCCCATCCAAAGCCAAGCTTGGGGATATGGCAGAATGAGAAAGAGTGGTGGGTCCTGGCTTCCTGCCATCCCTGCCAGTCCAAGGGCCAAGCTCACCTTTATAGTAGAAGAGGCAGCGATCCACCAGGACGAACCAGCGCTTGTTCCACTGCTTAACCCCGGAGCTGGCCTGCGGGACACGGGAGAGGCAGATGTGAGGGCTGCAGGCTGGATGTGGAAGAGGAGGTGGAATGCGGGGAAAAGGGCACCATGTCAATTATAAGGACATCGTGGCCCTAGCTGCGGCTCTGCTGTTAATGCACGGCAGCAACCCCTGGAGACCTCAGATGCAAGGAACTGACATTAGATTATTGCCTATGACCTTCCAGTTCTGTCATTCAGTGCCTCCCCTGGGGAGGAGAACAGGGGCAAGAGATGGGCAGAATGAGTGAGTGGAAGGGCAGGCAGGGATAGCGGCAAGGCCAATCTGGTGCCAATCTGTGAACCCTAGACTTTCAGGAGACACCCCTACCCCCACCATAATAAACAGGACCTGCTGGGGAGCTAGTGGGTTGTTTCCATGGGGTTAGGGACTCAGCATGTTTCAAGGTCATTGCATCTGCCCATCAGGACACGGGCTGGGTTCCCAAGTTTGACACAAATTTTTCTGTGTGACTTTGGGAAGATACTCAGTTTCTCTGAGCCTTTATAAAATTAGGAGACTCATTCACAGAGACAGCAGGAGGACATACCAAAAAAATACATGGACTGTCATAAGAACAGAGGAATCCTCATTCTATGAGGAAAAGGTGGAGGCTACGGTGGCCAGAACAGCAGGGTGGCCTCACCTGTTTGAAGAGCCAGCCCGCCTTGGTGACAGGTGCATTGGGGTTCCGCTTCATGGAGTGTGAGCGCTTGCCAAAGGCGACAGCTTTGCGGGCTGTGCGAGTTGCCTAGGGGCAGAAAGAGAAGCTGACCTAGGTCCCCAGTCTCCTCCTTCCTGCTCTATCTGCAAGGGAGCCACCCCTGCTAGAGCTGCTTCTCCCTAGGGTTAACCCCGGGGTGCCCTCAAGCCAAGGGGCCTAGGTGTGAATCTTGGATCTATTACTAACTCAAGAGCAGGGCCTTCCAGTTCTTTGGCAATGTTTCTCATTTCTAAAATAGGGCTCAAAATAATAATTCCAAAAAAATAAAATAATAGTTCTACCTGTCTCACAGCTTTTTGTTTTTTTTTTTGGAGGTGAAAATAATAAGATTTCCAATTTCACTCTGGCCTATCCTACTCCCAGCCGCCTTACTCCCTCTCTCTTCCACAGTGCGTTCTGCAAGTTAACTCCCTGCATCCTCATCCTCTGAGGGTCCCGTGCATCATCTCATGCCCAACATAATATGGAGCCGCGAGGAGAGACAGATGTTCTAGCTCTGTGTTGCCACGTGAACACTGTCATTCTTCCACACTCGGGCAATAGTCCACCTTGCTGGAAGCACCACTGCCTGATCTCCCACTGTTTAATCCTTCTCATCACTGTCCGCTTCTCAATTGTTCTTTCAGAGTCTAAGGGTTTTGATGTTAGTCCTCCTCTTCATTCTGTCTTGCATCACTGTGGAAAATCTCCTTGCTCAGGAGCATGACCCAGCAATGCCCTAACTTTATACAGCCTTGATGTCCTCAGCTCCAGCACTCTCCACCTGCACTCCAGCAACACTCCCAGTTCTACACCTTTAGTCTTCTCAGCACCCCAAGCCCCTCCGCTGCTACCATCTTCACTTCCAGGATTCCTGCTTTCTGATCCCAACATTCCACCCTTTGGGCTTTCTCACTCCATTAACTCAATACCAGCTTTTCTACTCCATTGAGGTCCCCAGCTCCTCAATTCTCCTTTTTTCTGGATCCATCAGCTCCTCCCAGTTTTCGTTACTTCCCTACAAAGCCTAGGCCCCATGGTGGAGTATATCCACTGGGCTCTCACAAACCCCATCTATTGTCTTCCTACCTCACCTTCTCTAAAACTCAATATAGCACTCCAAATGAATCAAATTATCTACTCTCCCTGCACTGATAGCCAGATTATGGTGCTGTCGGAGAAAAAAAAATATCACACTGCCATACAGATGAGGTTGCCACAGAGCCACAGTCCCAATCCCAGGAGGCTCAGCACCAGATGGCAGCTCCACTCCACACCCTCACCATCCTCCCAGCCCCCCGACCTCCCCTGCCTCTGCCCTCCCCAGAGGGAGGTCCCCACAGTGGATCTGCTCCTCCACAGAGAAATTCGAGGCTATTAGACATGCACTCCCTCAATGTCACACCCTTTTACCTAGAAAATGACTGTACTTACACTATCTTTGCCTCTTCCCCTCCAGTGTCAAAAGAAGAGGTGCTGCCCTCCTTCCAAGGCTAACATTTCTAACCCGTTGTGTCCTCTGAGACTTAGCTCCACCGATCATCTCCTCTCAAATATATCTCTGATGCTTCCTCCTCCACTGATGTCTTCTCCTCAGCAAATGCACTCAAGTCTCTCCATCTGAAAGTGTCTCTGTCTCTCTCT